ACGATAACATTTTCAAAATATTTTGATTTATTTTGAACTGTTTAGGGACATTTTCATTTTCCATTTTTTTTTAGTTTTTTTTCTAAAAATTTCAATAAAATTTTATTTGTTGGTTGCGAAAGCTTGAAAATTTAATAGAAGGCTCCTAATATGTTGTTTCAAAGGCAGATGAAAAATATTAAAAATCCTTAGTCACAATTTTTTTTTATAAGCATTTAAAGTTCAAAAATTGACAAAATATGGAAAAATCACGAAAATTAGCAAATTATTTTGAGTTAAGAATTCGTAAAAATTTTTCTTTTTAAATCTAAGATTTGAAAATCTAATACAAGATTACTCATAAGATTGTCTACCTTTATCAATAAAAAAATTTCTACCGGAAAGTCAAATTAAATTTTTATGAGCGTTTGAAATTCAAATTTTTACAACATTGGATATTCACTCGATTTCTCATGTGGCAATTTCCTTTTTTGTTGTAATTAAAAAACGAATTACTGTAGATACATGAAAATTTCACTGAATGTTTATATTAGCATTTCCTATACACCATACAATTTTGAAAATATTTTGACTCTTTTTGAGCTGTTTATGGACATTTACAGCTTTAAATTTTTTTTAGTTTTTTTTTCTATAAATATCAATAAAGTTTTATCTGTTGGGCCAAAAAGTGTAAAAATTTAATACAAGGCTCCTGATATATTGTTACAATATCAGTTGAAAAATATTAAAAATACATAGGCACAATTTTTTTTTATAAGCATTTTAACATCGAATTTTGATAGAATTTTTCAAAATCTCGAAAATTATTAATCATCGTAATTAATAAATTATAAAATGTTCAGTTTTTATAGCTAAGGATTGAAAATTTAAAACAAGATTCCACGTAAGTAGTTAATTCTCTTACCGAAAAATCTAAAAAATATACAATCACAGTTTACTTTTATAGTCATTTTATGTTCAAATTTGGACGAAATTACATATTAAAAAACCTAGTTATTTTGTTGTGATTATATAATATTATTCGTGGGTACCTACTTGAAACTTCTAAAGTGTACTATTATATATATATGATAGTATCAGGGTTTGTTGTTGATGTTGATGTATAACGTGTTATAAGTACCTAATGGATATTGTGATAATGTGATATGATTAATTTGGAATTTATTATAGGTCAATTTTTTTTTTAATACCATAGATATGTATATAATTTGTATTAAACCTAGACTGACATACCGTCTTCGCTCCTTATCGTTTTTCTTATACAATGATATTGCATCATTGAATTCAAATTTAATAGCATCCATTATACAGTGACCCACTTGTAACCTACTGTACAGCAGAGCGACATCCACTTACCCACCTTTTTTAAATTATATTTTCGGTTTTTAATTATTATACATGTATCCAATTTTTTTCGAGTCGGTATTGAATTTAATACCGGTTAAAGTAAATTTTAAATTAAAGGTGGCTTAAAAGTTTTTTGTGATAATGAATAAAAGGAAACTGAGAAAAAAAGGGGTGCCAAAATCGTAAATACGCCACTCGTACCATGACGTAAGATTCACTCTGTATATTTTTGCATAGTAAAAAATTATACAATAATATTAAGTCGTTAATATGTAATAAATAATAATACAATTATTTTGAAGTTAGAAAGGGGGCCCACTAAGTGTATGGTGTCTAGGGGCCTAATAATTGATCCTTAATCTGGGCTTGCTAACACATAATAGTTAGGTAGGTGTAATACAAATTAAACATTATAGGTACATATAAAATATAATGTCCGTGACGCTTAGGTCATAAGAATATTGTTGAACATTTTACTGCAGGCTGCGTGTTATTTCAGAAATGGTATTTAATTCGTCAGTGAAGATTTGTTAGGTGGGAATAAAATATATCATAAGCAGACTGAAATGTGAGGACGTTGCAGTGTTTCAAAGATCAAGTTTTATAGCAGATTTTGATTCACCAAGGACGCCGCGCGGGGTATGTATTTTCTTATTTTTCAGTATGTTTCTTTTTATTTTTGTTAATTGATCAGGGGATATATTATTGCCTACAACTTTTAACCATAGATATATACCTACAACAACTAGATAGCCGTCTCCTTTTTGTCATCGAAGTCAACCCCCCATTTACAAAGCAGGCAATGTTTACAAAATAATATTATCATAGTATATATGTATCGATAAATATATATATGTATATAAATAAATGTAAACATTGCCTGCTTTATAAATGGCGGCCGATTTCAACATTGGTCACAACTGTAATATAAAGACGGCTATCTAGTTGTTGTATATATCTATGGCGATGAAATCCCAACCGGGAATTCGGGAGGAGAGGGGGGGGGGTAAAAGGAGCAGTTGCTCCAGGCGGCAGGGATGGCCAAATAATTAAGGGTGGGAAAAAAATGTCGTTTGTAATATAATAAAAATATAATATTTAGTAGAATAAATAATAATTTTGTTTTTTTACGAATTTTGCGTTGTCAATATTGTCAGAATATCTAAAGTCGTAATGGAATCTAATATTAGAACTATTAGGTCTACTTATTTTAAGAGAACGCTGTTTGTGGACCTTGTTTTCGTAATAACCTAGTACCTACGTACTAATTGAACTATTTTTAATATTATCACTATTCATCACTACATAATATATTGACATGTAATAGCCGCCGGGGCACCGAACTGCCAGAATTATTCGATATTGCCACCTACCATTATATTGCAGTACTGACTACTGAGACTATGTAGCTTGTTATTCGATTATAATATCTATTATATTCCTATCTATTTGTATCTTTACTATTTATTTATACAAGAAATAACGAAAGTTTTGAACTTGGTAAATTGTTAGGATAATGTTAGTGTTATATAATATTTAAAATTGTAGACATAGTACCTACTACCTATACCTATTTCCTTAGTCGTTTATCATTAAAATAATTCATAGGCATAGGTATAGAATATACCATATAAGAGACATGAGTTTGAAATTAATAATGAAACGTAGACATATTGTGTATGTAATAATTTATTAATTTGTATAAATTGTATCTGGTTCATGTGTTTAAATATATTGTAAAATACAATACCTGCCTAAGTATAGCATGAGCAGATAACTAATGAGTAGATAAGCATATATTTTTTTTTGTAAGTATGTTGTATAATGTTTGTTAGAGCGTAGCGATAAATTTTTTTTTTTGTTATTTAGTTGTAAAAAAAAGACGTATACTGAATTAGGGGCGTCATATTTATGTTTGCATCCCCATAAATTGTCCCTTGATACAGCCCTGTGACACTAACTCGTTTACTCGTGTAAACAATTTGAAGCACATATAAGCGATCAACGAGTCTCTGACGTTTTTATTGATACATACCAATTCGCAAAGATAAATATGAGACATTTCTCTTCTCACATCTATCAGAGTCAGAGACTTGTCATCAATATGTGCTCAAAATTATCGGGATGTGGGCCCATTCATAGTATATGATTCAAAGTTGACATAATAAGACTGTGATCACAACTTGGAAGTATGATTGGATGTAGATTGTCAAAGTAATACCTAAGTAGTAATGATTTATCAGCATGTATTCTCCCGTCTTGCAAGTAGGTATCAATTTCAGCAGATCTTAATTCAATTTTTAAATGTAATCTTTAATCTTTGTTGGTTTTAATATTAGAGTGATTAATATTTTTTAAAACTATTGAAGCCTATAATGATAACTACTGAACGGGTTACTGAATGAAAAAGTGATATCTTTCACACTTGCAAGACACACTTGTAGGCAACACATGCAGATGAAAGGTTTTTTTTAAAAAAACAATTTTAATGATATTTTTTAGCTTCATGTTTTTTATAAAATACTCGGATAATGTCGAGCTTTGGAGCAACTTTAGAACGTATTCAATTAATTTTATTTTGTACTTATTAGTTATTGAAACATGATATGGAGGGTAGTCCTTTTGGTCATCCAGTGTCCACAAATATTTCAATTCATAATATGAAATCCCAGCCCAGTCTCCCATACTCTGATTTTAAAAGCCCAGGCCACAGATAAGCATATAGTTTTTTTGTAAGTATATTGTATAATGTTTGATCGAGCGTAAATAAATTTTTTTTTTGTTATTTAGTTGTAAAATATGACGTATACTGAATTAGGGGCGTCATATTTATATTTGCTCCCCCATACATTGTCCCTTATTAATACGGCCTTGTATATCTATGGTCAGCGCATTATTTGCTTTCCATCTTTGATCCACACGTAGCATACCTAATGTACGAATAACAGAACCAAAACGAAGTTGTTACTTTTAAGTAGGGACGTATAACCATGTACACATAAAAGTTCACGAATGGTCAACTGCATGTCTGCATATCCTCCCGTGTGCGCACTTGTGAATACTATACTGATATATTCGTATATATATATATATAAATATAGTGTAATACGTACACGAATGCGTCCCTAAAAATTCAACAGTTATTATTATAAAATTTATTTATTTTTTACGTATAGGTGGGAAGTGCCGCAACTAAGGTTATTAGGGCCGGGGTGCCAAACCAAATAATAGGGCCCCTTACTTTCCAAAATTTTACGAAATATTTTCATAAAAAATATATTTGTAAACGTTAAGTATCCATCACCATTTAAATTTCTTTTTAACTAAAAAAATACAAATTTACACTAGATAAAAATGGTTGATATAGGGTACGTTTAAAATTATAATAAAAAAATCAAATATTTGTGTTTTTCATATGTTTACATATTATACATAATACATATATTTGCTTATTTACTCTATTATACAAAATAGTAAATACATTTAAAATTATAAAAAAATTACATATTTATAATATTAAAATTACTTAAAAAAAATTTTTTTTCTGCTTTTTTGATTGGCAAAGTCTAAAATTAATTTTTCTACATCAAGTTCTTCAGTGCGAGCTCTTTCTATATTTAAGATACTTATGTTGGTTAATTGGTCTTGAGATATTAGTTTCTTAAATAGTTTTTAATCAATTTAAGTTTAGAAAATGATCGTTCGGGCGTTGCAACAGTCACTGGTAAACTTAAAAATATAATACAAGATGTAACAACTTCACTATACAAAGATGATAGGTCGTTTTCTATTAAATATAAACATAATTCTTTAATTGTTTTCATATCAGTGTTTTTTATAAACTCCTTTAAAGATAGAACTTGACTAGTTAAATCGGAAGTTACGTCAGTTTTGTAAAACTGAATAAAATCATAGCATGATTTTACTATTTCTGCTTCATTTAATTTTATTATATTTGGTGGCAATAAAAAATTAAAAGTATTTGATACTATTTTAAGTCCTTTAAAACGATCTTCGAGTTGAAATAAAGCAGTATCAACTAATGGTAAAAATACTGAAACATAACATTTTTCCTCTATAATATCCTGCAATCTCCTGTCACCATCAACTTCACCAAATAGTTTTTTAGAATACATTTTTCGTTTATTTTCATTCTGAAATTGTATTCCCCATTTTAAACACATATTTTTTGCTGATTCTACCAGTTCTTCATAATTATGTCTCATATTTTTAATTGAATTAATACCAATTTGCAAAAACTCACTGGCTTGATGGATACTGATTTGTGAGCACTGTAACATCTTGGATACCACAGATAATGGTTTCAAAACATTTTCCCAAATAATTATAAGCAAAACAAACTCAAAAGATTGCATTTTTTTAAAAAGAGATTTTGCTCTATTTAATTCATCACTTTTTTTGCTGGTTAGTGAAATATTTGTCAAAGATTTCAATACATTAATAAAATTTTCTTTTAATGCATATACAGATGAATGTCTAGCTTCCCATCTTTAATTACACACTTTTTTCAAAACTTTTTTTTGTATTTGATTTGCTATATCATTACCAAATGCTAATGATGCCCATCTAGGTGCACTTTGGTTGAAAAACAAATATATATTTTGAACTATATCAAAAAATGTAGAAATTTTTAATGAACTTTTGGCAACATCAGCAATTACTAGATTTAAGTTATGAGCCGTACAATGTACATATAAGGAACTAGGAACTACATCAGAAATCCTTTTTTGTACCCCTGATTTAGCACCGCTCATAACTGAGGCTCCGTCGTAGCCCTGTCCTCTACATTTTGTAATATATAAATTATATTTTTTTTAAATATTAAGTAGTTGAAATGACCTTCTGCGCTATGATTCATCAATGCATAAAATCCTAAGAACGATTCCTTTATTTGCACATTATGTTCATTATAATTCACAACAATATACCTCAGTACCACAGAAACCTGGTCAATTTTAACTGGTAACATGTTTGTTTCAACAGAACATAATATATATTTTATTCATAGACACCCTTTATTATCTATATTAGTTTCTAATTTTCTATGTAATAATTCTAAGTATTTTTCAATTATCGAGGGCCCCTTCGGGGCCCTCTAAATTCTCTGCTGGGGGTGCAATGCACCCCCTGCAACCCCGGTAGTTGCGACACTGTAGGTGGGTACATTACAAAACTAATTAAAATCACATTTTTTTATTTTCTCGAATACAATGTTTCAAAAATTATTAATTAATATATAATTTATAGGTATATAGTATTAAATTAATTAATATAATTATTAATAATAATAAATTCATATATAAGTTATAAAAATACAAACGAACAAACGAAAAACGATTCTGAGCAAAGACAGTGATAAATAATGTTGTGATTAAAGTAATTTATTTTACTATTATGTATTTGTACAAGAGTAGGTTCAAGCAATTTTTGACCAAAAATTACATTTGAAAGTGTCATAGTGTAGGTATTTAAATTATAATGATATACTCTAAATGTTTCATGAATCCACGAAAACCTACAATTTTTAAATTGCAACAAAATATCTAAAATCGCTATTCTTTGTTTTAATAAGTAATTTCTTCCAAATTTGAACTTAATATAATGTCTGTACAATTTAACTGTGTTTTTAAATTGATTATTTAGATTCTTTGGATACAGTTTGAACTATTTATGAGAATTATTGTTTTAAATTTTCAATCCTAAGCAATGAAAGTTGAACATTTTATACATTTTTATTTACAAAATAGTTATTTACAATTCAAATATCTATAAATCACTGAAAACGAGTCGAAATATTTTGAACATTTTATAATGTATAGAAAATGATAGCTTAAACATTATATAGACATTTTAAATATCAACGGTTAATAGTTGTTGAATAACAACAAAATAAGAACATTATTTTACGAGATTCATATACACATCATTGTAAAATCAAACATTCATTGCTCCCGTAGTCGGTTCTAAAAAACAAACTAAGACATAATAGTTAAGTAGGTATAATACAGATTAAACATTATACATATAAAATATAATATCTATATCTAAGGTCATAAGAATATTGTTGAATATTTTACTGCAGGCTGCGTGTTTTTTCAGAAATGGTATTTAATTCGTCAGTGAAGATTTGTCAACTGGGAATAATATATATTATCATAAGCAGACAGAAATGGGTGAACGTTGTAGTATTTCGAAGACTAAGTTTTATAGCAGATTTTGATTCGGACACGGGGCGGGTATGTATTTTCTTATTTTTCTGTAGGTTTCTTTTTATTATAGTTAATCGATCAGGGTTGTATTGCCCGAAACTTTTCAATTATTTGTATTGTAACCTACTTTACTGGTATAACACTATTCTGGCTATCAATTAAGTCGTGGTAAAAATTAGGAAATTGGTCAGGTATGATCTTTTTTGGTATGTAAGTACTAATTCATTTGAGTAGATATTTCGTTCAATTATTTAAATATTTTCACCGATAATCAAGTACAATGACTTGTAGGTAACTAGAGACTGAATGAATAGGAATTAGGAAGTGTATGATGTGGTGAAGATAAGTAAAGAGGTCAACAGGATTTCAGAATGTTTGGCGTATGATAGGGAAATGAGAAAAATGTTAGGTTAGGGTAGGTATGTGGAGTGAGAGTACAATGAGTACCTGTATACTTATTATATAAAAGAAGATTTTTAGTTTCTCTCACGAGCACCATTCAATACATTCAAAACATATTTATTTATTATCATTCTTTAATGAGCTAATCATCGTCAGTTGTTTTTCTGTTTAAGATTCTGGACATTTTAGTTTGAACCCTTCAATATGTGTTCTGATTGTATAATTTTTTCTAATTTTTTTTTTTTGGTTTTCTAAAATGCAATTGCCTGCGGGCGCCAACACTCCCCTTCAATTTTTTTTTTTAGAATTTGACTCTAGTTGATTCTGGACATTTTAGTTTGAACCCTTCAAAATGTGTTCTGATTGTTTAATTTTTTTTAATTTTTTTTTTTGGTTTTCTAAAATGCAATTGCCTGCGGGCGCTAACACTTCCCTTCAATTTTATTTTTTGGAATTTAACTCTAGTTGAATTTTGATAACCTGCAGGTGCCCTCTGTATTGACATTCTTAGACGATATAGGTAATCATTGTAGATTATTTTATCAGTTTATGAATCTGAATATTGTAGTTTGAACTCATTGATATGTGTTCTGACTGTGTAATTTTTTCTAATTTTTTTTTTTGGTTTTCTAAAATGCAATTGCCTGCGGGCGCCAACACTCCCCTTCAATTTTTTTTTGGAATATTACTCTAGTTGAATTTTTTACACAAACTTGTTTATTGATTACCTGCAGTATCAATTATTACTAATAACTACCTGCAGTGCCCTCTGTATCATCATTCTTTAAAGAGCTAATTATTGGCAATATTGTTTTTTCTGTTTTGGATTCTGGACATTTTAGTTTGAACCCTTCAATATGTGTTGTGACTGTATAATGTTTCTAAATTTTTTTTTGGTTTTCTAAAATGCAATTGCCTGAGGCGCCAACACTCCCCTTCAATTTTATTTTTTGGAATTTGACTCTAGTTGAATTTTGATAACCTGCAGGTGCCCTCTGTATTGACATTCTTAGACGATTTAGGTAATCATTGTGGATTATTTTATCAGTTTATGAATCTGAAGATTGTAGTTTGAACTCATTGATATGTGTTTTGACTGTGTAATTTTTTCTAATTTTTTTTTTTGGTTTTCTAAAATGCAATTGCCTGCGGGCGCCAACACTCCCCTTCAATTTTTTTTTTAGAATTTGACTCTAGTTGATTCTGGACATTTTACTTTGAACCCTTCAAAATGTGTTCTGATTGTATAATTTTTTTTAATTTTTTTTTTTGGTTTTCTAAAATGCAATTGCCTGCGGGCGCTAACACTTCCCTTCAATTTTATTTTTTGGAATTTGACTCTAGTTGAATTTTGATAACCTGCAGGTGCCCTCTGTATTGACATTCTTAGACGATATAGGTAATCATTGTAGATTATTTTATCAGTTTATGAATCTGAATATTGTATTTTGAACTCATTGATATGTGTTCTGACTGTGTAATTTTTTCTAATTTTTTTTTTTGGTTTTCTAAAATGCAATTGTCTGCGGGCGCCAACACTCCCCTTCAATTTTATTTTTTGGAATTTGACTCTAGTTGAATTTTGATAACCTGCAGGTGCCCTCTGTATTGACATTCTTAGACGATTTAGGTAATCATTGTGGATTATTTTATCAGTTTATGAATCTGAAGATTGTAGTTTGAACTCATTGATATGTGTTTTGACTGTGTAATTTTTTCTAATTTTTTTTTTTGGTTTTCTAAAATGCAATTGCCTGCGGGCGCCAACACTCCCCTTCAATTTTTTTTTTTAGAATTTGACTCTAGTTGATTCTGGACATTTTACTTTGAACCCTTCAAAATGTGTTCTGATTGTATAATTTTTTTTAATTTTTTTTTTTGGTTTTCTAAAATGCAATTGCCTGCGGGCGCTAACACTTCCCTTCAATTTTATTTTTTGGAATTTGACTCTAGTTGAATTTTGATAACCTGCAGGTGCCCTCTGTATTGACATTCTTAGACGATATAGGTAATCATTGTAGATTATTTTATCAGTTTATGAATCTGAATATTGTAGTTTGAACTCATTGATATGTGTTCTGACTGTGTAATTTTTTCTAATTTTTTTTTTTGGTTTTCTAAAATGCAATTGCCTGCGGGCGCCAACACTCCCCTTCAATTTTTTTTTTGGAATATTACTCTAGTTGAATTTTTTACACAAACTTGTTTATTGATTACCTGCAGTATCAATTATTACTAATAACTACCTGCAGTGCCCTCTGTATCATCATTCTTTAAAGAGCTAATTATTGGCAATATTGTTTTTTCTGTTTTGGATTCTGGACATTTTAGTTTGAACCCTTCAATATGTGTTGTGACTGTATAATGTTTCTAAATTTTTTTTTGGTTTTCTAAAATGCAATTGCCTGAGGCGCCAACACTCCCCTTCAATTTATTTTTTTAGAATTTGACTCTAGTTGATTCTGGACATTTTAGTTTGAACCCTTCAATATGTGTCCTGATTGTAAAATTTTTTCTAATTTATTTTTTTGGTTTTCTAAAATGCAATTGCCTGCGGGCGCCAACACTCCCCTTCAATTTTATTTTTTGGAATTTGACTCTAGTTGAATTTTGATAACCTGCAGGTGCCCTCTGTATTGACATTCTTAGATGATTTAGGTGATCATTGT